TTGGAGAAACGAGTGGATGGCCGTTGATGGTCCACTCGTAGTCCAAGAATTGATCGTCAAGGATGTCCACGAGATGGGGAAGGATTCGGTTCAAGTAATCTTCAACGGTGTCATCAAAACCAAACCCGAAGTCGAAGAATGGTGATCGAACGATGTGGATGCCTCCGTGGGCATCGAGTATGAATCCGTGATCAACTTCGGGATCCGTCATGCATCCTTGCCAAGGGTTGAAGGAGCACCCAAAAGGAAGAAGAGGAAGAGAGGATGACGGCTTGGAGTGGGAGGGAGTTGGCTAGGGCTTTGAGAGAAATTAGGTTAGGTTGGGGTGGATGTGGTATGGGCTAAATCTGAAATTATTCTCATATTTAGATTAACTTGGGAGGGAAGCAATTTGAAATTTGATTTCAAATTAATTGCGATTAATGCCTTGATGGAGAATTAATGTGAGGGAGCCAAGGAAGGGGAGACCAGCGGTATAGAGAGAGAGGGAAATGAGGTTTAGACCAAAAACTGATATTAATTTCAGTTTTAAGGAGTTAGGAGGGAAAATATTTGAAATCAAACTTGGATTCCAAATAAGGGTGAGGGTTAATGTGCATTCAATGGGGAGAACCCATCAAGGGCCGGCGGCATCAAGGAGGAGGAAGGGGATTGGGGAGAAAGAGAGGGGGTTTCCAAATAAGTGGTGATGACTAGGAAAGAAAATTTATTAAATCCAATTTGACTTAATTTAAAATTGGATTCAACATAAAAACTTTCCTAATTTGAATCTCCTAATTTGGAAAGAATTTGAAATTTGAAATTCGAATTTCAAATATGATGGCTAGGGGAGAAGGGTGGTGGGCGGATGGTGTGAGGCCGGTGGCAAGGTGGTCGGCCAGTGGTGGGAAGGCAGCCGGCGACTTGGGCTCCAAGGGGCGGCGGCAAGCAGGGTGGGGTCGGGTTCTTCAAGCCAAGGAGTTTAGGTTGTCTTCTCTTGAGGTGGAGGAGGAAGAGATCGGCGGAGAAGAAAAGAAAACTAAGGATCACAAATCTCAATACTTCATCCACTAGAATTCACAAAGAGATCCACAATACTATCTCCTCAAGAACTCACAAAAAGATCTTGGGAAATTTCATGAACTCACAAAGAGATCAACAAGAGAAAGAAATTTTTATTCATCAATAATCATCCCCTAATACAATGCATGAGGCCTCTTATAAATAGGCCAAAATGAAACAAAGACTAAAAGACATAAATGCCCTCGGGGGCTACAATATCAAATGACCATCCATAATAAAATAAACTACTACATAAAATGACTCAAAATATAAACTCCTGATCGTGGCCGTCGATCTCCGGTGTCTCCGATGGTACACATGTCGAAATCACTAATGATGTCCTCATCAGAATGTTAATGACCAAGAACGGGCTTTGGTGTTATTGTTCTCTTAACTCCTTACAAGGAACTTTCAGCCACCAAGCTATATGGACATAATACAATAAGCTTGACAAATATTAAGAATTTGCTTTTTTCTAAGGACGTGACTGCTAAACTTACGGGAGATGATGAACCACCTAGTAGTCTATTATAATTTAGAGAGAGATCCTATGAATATTGGTCCAGTTTTAATCATGAAAAGAGGAAGTCTCATAGTATATTCAAGAATATTAATTTATTTTACCATAAATATAAATTGTCATGCTTTGAAACAAAAAGAACAGTGTTCAAATGACAACATAGGGAGAAATTAGCTGATGGAAGTGTAGTTGCAAATTATTTTGGTGCTAATACAAGTGAAGCCCTTTGGTGATTGATGGAGACAAGTGCAAATAATATATGAGTATTACTTCAAATTATTTAATTCATATGTTCTATTGGAGATGTTGTCCACATAGGAGCCAATGTTTTGGCAAATGTGAGTAAAAGAGAAAAGAGATGTGTGTAAAGCCAAAGGTTAAAATGCTCTTAAGTAAAGCGCATGATGGTGCAACTGTTTTATTGGCTGAAGTGAGGTATGTACCAAATTTGAGAAAGAATCTAATATCCTCAAGTTCCCTCGATGTTATAGCGTATAGGTCCTCTGATGAATCTAATGCTATTAAGGTCTATGTGTGATGAGGACATCAGTCGTCGTTTCCAGCATGTTTATCACAGGAGATATCGCAAACCGACGGCCAAGATCGGAAGCATCTATTATTGACTTTTTTGTTATTGTATTAGTTTTATTTTATTATTTTGTTTCAGTGGACCTTTGTACCCCTATGAGGGAGTTTAATGCTTTGTAGCCCAATGGGTGTATGCATCTTTGTTTATTTTCATTAGCAAGGCCTATATATAGTGGTCAAAGTCTTTGTATCAATTTTTAATGAATGTTTGAATGAAATTCAGATTTGTTTCCTTCTTCTTGTGTGTGCACTTGAGAGAGGAAGAGCCTAGGAGAGGCTCAAACGAAGTACCCAACAGCCCCTGCAAGTGAGCTCTTGGTTTTCCCACATCTTTTCTTCTTCTCTCCCATTTTCCACCTCCCTAGCTTCCTCTTCTTCCTCCCTACCCAACAGCCACCATCACCTCCCCTCCTTGCATCAACCCCACCTCTAAACCCATCTCCACCACCGGCCCAAGACCTATTTCCCTCCACCCGAGCCAATTTCCCCCTCCCCTATGCCGCCGGACCACTCCACAATTCCCATCATTATGATGATTTCCCTCATCATAGTTGCTTTCCTAAATTAAGCCAAGCCAAGAAGGAAAGAATTGTAATTATTTGAAATACAAATTTTGAATTTCAAATACTTTCCTTTTTTTGAAATTATAAATTAGGAAAGTGATTAAATCTAGACCTAATTGGATATAATAATTCCTTTCCAAAATTACATAGCTTGTTTTGGAAGCTATTAATTCCCTCCACAAAACCCCCCTCCCTCTAGTAATGTCACCGGCCCATGATGGGGCTCCACCTTGGATTTCCCTTTTAAATCCCAACCTTATTTGAATTTGAAAACAAATTTCAAATCAAATTCCCTCCCAATTTACTTGAATCTGAAGCTAAATTCAGATTTAATAATCATCCCTCCACCTAACCCTAAAACCAAAATCACACAACCCAAATCCTCACCCTTCTCTCCTTGGCCGACCCCCTCTTCCTCCTACCTTTCTCTTGGAAGCTCCAATCCACATGAATTCTATAGCAAGGAAGAGAAGATTTCGTTGAGGACTACATATATCACATCCTTCTTCACCTAGCGGAGGTGATCGACGAGCAACAATTGTTAGTGCAGAGGCAACTCGTGGGACATTCAACCTTACCTCCTTCTCTTCCCCTTTGATCAATACCATCGACGTCACCATCCTCTTAAGTGGCATCGTCTAGTTCGCTCAAGACTTCTCTCCATTAAATAATTCCCATAGAGCGTTAGTGAGGTACAAGGGAACTTGAGGTGAAAACTCTTGACATTAACCTATGGATTGTTATTACAAGTGCATTAGACTTTACTATGATTTGTCAATTTTGCTTTGAATTGGCTTGTCCTTCTAAATAGCAACCGAATGATAAAACAATTCGTCAAAGATAACTCTTTAATCTTTTTTTTGTAATCCATTATTCGTGAAGTAGCAAGCTTACAAAACTTTTATTATTTTTTTAAAATCCTGGTTGTTTCACATCAATGTGTTTTAAAGTGCAACATTGAGTGTTGATGCATTGAGTTTAACAAATTTAGTAAAGCATCACAATTTGGAGAACGGGCAGCAAGTAAGCTTCTAGGCTGCAAGACATATTCCAAAACAAATAGGGAACAAGTTGAGGGGAGTATTAGAAATAATTAGGAGGATCAATCTTGTGTTGTACAATCTATCTTACTGTTGATAATTACAACATTCAAGCAAGGACAGAACAACATCACGGGTATGAAAATTCAATGGCATGTGCCCAATCAAGTTCAATGGTACCACTTCATAGTGCAATATTTGTCGTAAAAAGGTCTCGCGCAATTATTCAACTCAAACAATATTTAAGCTAAATGAGATTACAAGGTGATGGGCCCTTTGAAGCTTTAAGAACTTAGCCTTGGATTGGAGATGAATCATAAAAGAGATATAATTTTTTTCACAATATTGAGTCAAGGGATAGATTTGCTTGTTACGAACTCATGCACATGCATGAATCACATAGTGATGTAGACTTAAACTTCCTACATGAAAGCTTAAAAATGAGTTAGATGATTTGTTAAGTATTAATTCAATATCTATACAAGAATCACTTGATGAGATAGGTATCAAGCTTCTCATGTGAAAGCATGAAAAATATGTGAAGTGTTTTTGCATGAGTTAGGTAGCTTTGCATTTGATTAGTGCTTATCTAAATTAATGCGTGAAAGCTTAATTTGTATATAAGTATAAGGCAAACTTGAGTTTTTGGTGAAAGAGTTGAGAAGAAACTGAAAAGAGAGAGAAGAGAAGCGAGAAAGATTCATAAGTTCACTTCCTGTAATTCAAAGTATCATCTCAAGAAAATGAGTGTCCTTCATAGGAACTTTTGAAGGGGAAAATTTTCATGTTGTTTAATCATCTTTTTTTTTTCTTTCTTTCTCTTAAATTGGTCTCTCTCATTTATCATAGGATACGTGCGGTTTTTTTTTTTTTTTTTTTTTTTTTTGGGAGCTAGGGTGAAGTCGGATTTTAAGAAAGGCTGGCAAGTATCCCTTTATTAGACATAATCATTGTGGCTTCTTTGTTAATGGATCAGATCCTCTCTATCCACCCATAGATGTTAGCTTATTTGAGTAAAACCACATAAAATTTGGGTCTTTCCTTTTTGTGTTCAATCTCTTCTGCATTTATTTTATGTTTCATCGCACTTGCCCATAAGTTGAAGCTTATGTAGCATAAAATTAGGTTTATCATTTTCCTAAAACTTAATCCATCTGATGCAATAATATGATGAATTGAGAAGCCTTAATAATCCAATACAGCATAAAATGAAATTAAAAGAAACATCAAAGCTAAAAATAACTTTACCATTAAAAACAGTCTGGGTGAAACTGCAACCATGAGAAGCAAGTTTTCCATGAATTTGTACATGACAAGAAATTGCTTTGTCTCCAGTTAAACTGATCATTTTCTTGAAGTTCTTGTCCAAACCATCTTTCTCTATAATACTTCCCGAAAGGAGAGGTTGCTTCAAGTTTAGATCATGTCCACTTTGTGAGCCAAGGTCAAGGCTTGAATATCTACTTGAAGTACCTCTAAGCCACCCAAAGCTTGGGAATGCAGAAGTTGTGCTTGAGTCAATGCTTTGTTTGGAAATAACATAACAGTGTATTAGAAAAAATTCAATTTGGATAATTATGCATTCAGAATGCAAACATAAATACATTATTACAAATAAAAAAATTAATAATTCTCATAATTCATTCTCTTATCATATAAATCAACTAGATCGACTTTCTGACATAAATAGACCATACTTATCATCATAATTATCTATATTGTGTCGTTGTTCCAACTATTTAGAGTTGGATTAATACTACTTTTTCACCATTATAGTATTCCAGTAGAACTCCTCTTATGCAATCCGATTAGCCATGCTACTTTTTTCCCATCCATTGTTTTGTCTAATACTTGTACATTATTTTGGCATCTTTTTTTCTAATTGGACCATATTCTAACCTTATTGTACTTTTGCATGCTCACATCAACAATGCCAATTTCTCACCAACAAATCTTTAATGGGTTTTACTCTCACGTCCCTTTATTATAAACATTTATTAACATATTCTTCCAAATTTTGCCTAAAATTCTAACATTCTCATTTCTATCATATTCAACTTGATAATTAGTATTTTTTAATCACCAAAAAGTCAGGCCGATAAAGCATAATGTGCTCTAAATATTTTCTCCAGTCTCACTGATATTCTCTTAACGCATAGTATCACCTCAAATACTTTGAATTTTTTATCACTCAGTTTCAAAATAAGAAGATATATTATCATCTATATCCTTCATTGTCTTTAAGATAAATCCAAGCTATTTTAATTGATTAAGAAATAATAACTACATTATCTTTTGGTCATATTTGCTAATAATTTTCATTCACACCCATTAAAATTATATATCATACTTGCTTTGTGTTCTACGAATCCTAAGCCCTTATCTTCTATAATTTTTACTTGTTCAAATTTCTAGCATATTTCATCACACCTATAGGAACAAAGTTGCCAACAAATGACAAAATTAAGTTATCTCATTTTGAATATATTTAGTCAGATCTCAACATTCGAGTCTAAAAAATACTATCTTAAGGTTGATCTTTCATGTAATCAAACAATCATTAGAAAGTCGTTCACAATATTTTTTTATTTTAATTTTGATATATCATTAAAAAATTTATCTTGATCAAACATGAATCACGAGGCAAAATTTGAATTAGAAACTTCCGAAATTAAATATGGGACCATCCGAACTCTAATTTCAGTAAACTTATAGTCAAACTGAACGTCTCGAAAAGACAAACCCAACGACACCAAATTTGACCCAATATGAGCCCAAGTGGGTTCAAATTGAAGACCGTAAGCGCATTTGGAAGGTTTAAATCATAAATTGGATGGCCACATGATTTCCAAATGCGACATGCTTATAGTCAAATCAAGTGGCTCGACGAGGCGAATCCAACAAGCCCAAGATCGCCAAATTTTGATATCATTAACACACTCAAATACTCGATAAACAGTCCACGATTAAGGAAATTGATATTGGTCGTCCATTCAAAACACTCTCAACATGCTCTTGATCTTCTCCCTATTTACTGGTCATGCCACTCCCTGAAAATTATAAATATATCTCTCATTCTACACTAAAAGGGGAGCAAGGAAGAGAAATCAGATCTCTCTTGCCACCAGATTCCTCGACCACCTCCCGGCCACCGACCACGCCAAACTTTCACCATACTTCCTTCCGGCCACCAACTGTCGTCGGACTTCCACCGGACCACCAACTGTCGTCGGACTTCCACCCAGCCACCAACTGACGCCAGATTTACGCCTGACCACCAACCCTCACTGGACTTCCATCCGATCCCTATTCGTCGTTACATTTCAACCCAATGGTTGGCTATTGTAATTTGATCATCCTTAAGTTCAAGAACGAATCAATCATATGTAATATATTCAAACACTAGTGGATTCATTTCAACTGGGCGTGGCCTCGTGGTTTTTTCCTTCAGGGTTTTCCGCGTAAAAATTTCGGCGTTTCTATTCTCTCTGTTTGTTGGAAATAAGTAAAGGAGGTGGGGACTTTGAGAATTTCGGCCAAGAGAGAGGGATGAGTGGTTTGAATTATTTCCATGAGAGCTGCTTAAATTTTGGAAATATTTCCAAAGGAATCCAAGAGGGGGCCGGCGGCATAGTGAGGGATTTGGAGAATTAAAAAAGTGTATTAAGACTTGCTGGAATATGATCCACCAATTAAAGGAATTGGAATTAAATCCAATCTAATTTAAATTCAATTTGGATATGATTTTAAAAACTTTCCTAAAATAGGATTCTATTTTAGGAAATGTTTCAAATTTCAAATTTGAATTCAATGATTGAAATCGAGAATCTTTCCCAAGAGAGGCTAAGAAAAAAAGCAAGGTAATTATGTGGAAATTAGGAAAATGGAGGCAAGGGGAAGAGGGTGAAACGACGGCTAGGCTAGGGTTTGGAGGAGGTGGATGGGTCGGGTGGTCACCCAATCAAGGGAACCGTCTTGGGTGGCTGGCAGCTAGGTGGAGTGGGGAAGAGGAAGGTGGTGGGGTTTGAGATGTGGCCGGCGATGGAAGATTGGAGAAGTAAGGAGGGAGGTTAGAAAGAAAGAACCGACAAAACAAGTCACGAACCCGGACTCTTCCAAGGTTGGTGGGTGATCCGCTTCCCTCTCCAAAGGGGTTTCTCTCCCAAACACTATGAAGCTCTCACAAGAACTTACAATGCAGAAAATTTTATCATTCATTCATTAACCATCAAAAGAGAACATAAGGTCTATATATAGCCTCATACAATAGACTCAAAAATAAAAGACGACGTCGCCCTTTGGGCTTACACTTGATCACTCTTAAGGGATAAAAGGGAAAAATAACTAAAGAAAATACAAACATAAATAAATAAAATACAAATACATATGACAATTTAAAAATACATCGGCATGATCATGGTGGTAGATCGGCCGCCACGCCTCTGATAAAACTTTTTAAGTTCCGATGTCCCCATCATCAATCCACCATCCATTGCTCTCCTCAGCACACTTTGGCATCACCGCTTGGGCCATCCATCCTCTTCCTTACAAGCGGATTTACCTACTATTTTTAGATCTTTTCTTTCACATTTTATTGTAAAGCTTGTGCTCTTTCAAAGATCACAAACTTCATTTTTCTCATTCTTCAAATTGTAACAAAGAACATTTAGCTTTGATACATACTGATGTATGGGGTCCTCCAATTTTGTCAAACCAATGTTTTAAATATTATATACTGTTTATGGATGATTACTCGCATTATTGTTGGGTTTATCCTATGATACTTAAATCTGAGGCATGCTTCAAATTTTTATTGTTTAAAGCTTATGTTGAAAAATAGTTTAACAAACAAATTAAAATCCTCATATCCGATAATGGTGGTGAGTTTACTAACTGCACCTTCCAAACCACTTTACAAAATGTTGGCATCCTTCATCAATTAACATGTCCCTACACCCCATAACAAAATGGGATTGCTGAAAGGAAGCATCATCATATCATCTAAACCTTACGCATTCTCATGTTAGATGTCAACATTCCTCTACATTTTTGGCCTGATACGCTCCTCGCCACTATTTACCTCATAAATCATCTACCCATTTCCCCAACTCCGAAAATATCTCCTTACCAACGTCTCTATAACACAACCAGATTACACATTCTTAAAAAACATTTGGTTGCTTATGTTACCCTTGGTTACCCACAATTCCCAAACACAAATTTGATCCAAAATCTACGCCGTGTGTTTTTCTTGGATATGCTTCGAATGCTAAAGGTTACAAGTGCTACAATATCTCAACAAATAAAATTTACATCTCCCGACATATAAAGTTTTTTGAAAATATTTTCCCATTCTACTCTTCAACACAACCGTCTCCGTCTTCATTCTTCCCTATATATCTTCCCCCATTAACACTTGTTCCCCTTCATAAACAAAATTTTTCTTCCCCAAGTCCCACTCTAGAATTTTCAACTCCTCACAATGATCAGCCAGCTCCACTTACAATCCCCTCACCTTTGGCCAGTATACCACAATTATCAACTGATTGAGCCCTCCACAACCCAAACCATCACAAACTGCACCTGCATCTCATTCTACCACTCCGCCTCCAACTCATCACATGCTCACAAGGTCCAAAACAGATCATCTTAAACCCAAACATATTATTAGCACGTCTCATTCGCTTCAACCTGCTGATCCCACTTGTTACTCAAGCTTCCAAGCTTCAAGTTTGGCGTCAAGCTATGTCAACAGAATTTGATGCTTTGCAAGCTCAAAGAACTTGGATTCTAGTTCCACCCTCACCAACCCAAAATATTATTGGTTGCAAGTGGATTTATAAAACCAAATATAATGCAAACATCTCTATTGCTCGACACAAAGCACGTTTGGTTGCACAAGGATTTATTCTGGAATATGGCTTGGATTACTTAGAAACGTTCAGTTCTGTAGCAAAATTATCTACTATTCGCATTTTACTTACAATTGTTGTCACTCATAAGTGGACCGCTCTACAACTTGATGTTTTTAATGTCTTTTTACATGGAGATCTCAATGACACAGTTTACATGACTCAACCAATTGGCTTAGTGGATCCTTTACATCCGGATCCCGTTTGTCTTCTCAAAAAGTCCATTAATGATTTGAAACAATCTCCTAGACAACGGTTTGAGAAATTCTCCACACATCTAATCAAGTTTGGCTTCCAACCGAGTACAGCAGATCCCTCTTTGCTCTTGTATGAACATGGTTCTAAACATTTATACATTTTGATTTATGTGGACAATATCCTCTTAACTGGCAATGACGAGCAGCTCATTCACCAGCTCTTAAGTGATCTGCGCACTCATTTCAAATTAAAGAACTTAGGCAACGTAGCATTGGGAATGAAAAAATAATGAGAAATTTTTGAAAATTTTTATTTGTGCCCTCTCTAGAAAATTTTATGGCTCTGCCTCCAGCATCCCCGAAGAGGAAACTGGAGGAAAAAGTACCTGTAGCTTTGGGGCCACTGGTTAGATGACAAACGTTCCCCACAATGTTCCGCTTCGCTTCCGCTGTCACTTCCATTGCTCTCCACACAGTCATCACCATCCTCGCAGCAAATACCGTCCTCCACGAACAGTTCGACGTCCTTCTCAGCCATCACCAGTACAACACTCTAGTTGGCAGAGAGAAAAAACGTGAGCGAGGAGGAGATTTAATGAGACCAGCACCATGCACCGGAGAAGTGAAAAGTCCCTGCCGGCGCTTCGACGCCTTTCCATGGCCACTTATATGGAAGTTCCGGCACGTTAGGGGTTGCCTTTTTTGGTTAAGGTGATTGTGGCGGGGATAACGGATGACCGGCTGTCTGCACAAGTCGGGAATAAGAACAATGGCGGGGAACATATTAATAGGAAGAACATGGCCATAGCTTCACGCCTCCTGCTCGAGAAATTATTACGCGCGGAGTTCCGACGTAGAGCTTCGTCATCCCCGCGCGGAAAAACATTTTTTTGTAAAATACAAAATTTTAAATAATCACAGAAAATGCTGCTTTTTACAACTGATGAGAGAGAGCATCTCTAATGGAACCTCAAATAATTATTTGTCCTTCTTTCATCGATGGTAATTTTGTCGCTATTTCATGCTAAATTTTTATGTGCTAACGGGATTTGCCCATAAAATGGAAAAAGACAGTTACGAGACGACGAAGCCTGCGAAATGGTGTTCGATTGAAGCAGAATTACTGTATTTTAAAGTTTTGTTATATTTTGCAGTAGAAAATGGGATTTTCGGTGCCCTAAGCAAATTTAAAAATTATTTTAAGCGTATAAATCTATTTTAAAAATTAAAATTAGGTAAAGTTATTCGTTTAATGGTTGATTTAGACCTAGTCAATTAGTCGTGGCAGGAAACACTTGGCACACTTATCTGGCAAAGGGAAGTAGCCTGTTAAACGGACGACTTAGCACTTGCTTAAATTCCTGCCCGACCCTTTCAGGATATCTCTCTCACTCGCCTACCTTCGCTGCGATGTGCTTGACTTTGTCGAAGTCATATTTTTTGGCTGCTTAAAACGAAATGAAGTAGATCTAGGGTTTGATTTATTTTTTTGCTTTTTTTTTTTAGTCAAAATGAGGAGTTCTATGACAATTAAGGAATTTTAGCAAATTATTTACAAGGTTTTTTGCAATTTTTGTGTGTTGTAGTTTGGCTATTTGTTAGAAGGTTCTTTGTTTCAAGTGATTTTTCTCATTGAAAATTCGAATTTTTTTTCTTTAAATTTGGCGATAAATAACTTTTTTTAAGAAAATTTTAATTAGGATAAAATATATTCTAACCACCCCAATGAACCTAATTTGGCAATGTAGAATTTCTTGAATTTTTTTTTTTTTTTTAGCAAAACGATTTCAAATTCAAATTATTTCATATTTTTATCGCTTAATTGACATAACCTATATAATTTGTAAAGAAGTTAATTCTAACGATTTAATTTGTATATTACATGGAAGTTATTATACACAGTAATGGTTGGTCTTCATTATTATATGTTTTGCATCAATATAGTAATAGAAATAAAAAAAGTGTAAATTAATAATTATAAAATTTAACTATTTGTGATTTATTGAAATTTCTTAGTGAAACATATCAGTTCAATAACGTATGCACGAGGAGCAAACTTCATGCTAATGTATGAAAGTGAATTATAATTGGATACAGAATTTGCGTCAACGTATTATAGGGGTAAGAATCTTCCTCTACAAGTACCAAGAAACATTAACTTATAGCAGCTAAGTTAAGGATTCTGAAAGCACTGAAGTACAATGCATAAAAATATTTTGAACTTACTTTGTCGAGTGCATGTAGGGAAAGAATTTGTCACTTCACATGTTGAAGATAAAGATGTGTGCAAAGTTTTGTTATGTCAGGCTAGTTTAGAATTCCTAATTATGCACATGGAAGTAGAAGAGTTGAGCTTGACCAATGGTAATAATGAGCCTCAAAATTCCCAAATGTATGATCCTTCGGGCCTTGGTGAAAGGGTTGAAGTGTTTGATGGTGCGTCAAGGCTCCCTACAAAAGAAGACCTACTAACCAATAAGTTCACTATTACGCATATTGTTAATTACAAAATATATCAATATTTCATTGAATAGTAAATAAAGAATAATGGTTTTAACATAATGATACGGAAATCCAACAGTGATAGGAAGATTGTGGGCCTTCAACATAATCAATTTTTTATGTTAAAGATGGTTACGACTATGAGTAGTGGGTCTAGCGAGCAAGGTTCTGCTGATGCAATTGATTTTTAACCATATTTGAATTATGGAAATGCAATTGACAATGAAGATATATGTAACATCATCTAGGCTTGACACATGTAGGATTACACAACAGTGGGATCAGGAGGTTGAGTTTGAGGATGCCTCTAACGGGGTTGCAGTAGAGGATGAATTCTCGATTTTTATCGAGTTAATGGAGGGAATGTGTTTCACACAGAAGTTTGATTTACAATTTGTCGTGCAAGGATATTCAATTAGGAATAATGTTCAATATGTTGTTATAGCTTCAAATAGAAATAAATTTACCGTTGCATGTGCAAAGCATGATTGCTAGATGGTTCCTTGCCTATGGCGGTTGCATTCTGCTCTATGTAAATCGCTTCGGCAACATATGAAAAATTTCATCCACCAAAGACCATCAACATACATGTGCCACTTCAATTCATGAAGTTGGGGAACGTTAGTCCAACTCAAAATTCATAAGTATATATATATACTACCAACCATCAGAAAACAGATGGACTTGTACCTTGAATCCCAGTGCCCCGGGCTCTGGTTAATCTTCTGCCCTGACCACGAGCAATATTTTAAGCTAAGTTCAATATAAAAATTTCCTACATGAAGGCTTGGGATGTAAGGCAGAAGGCAATTAAGGCTATTTTTTGCAATTGGGAGGTGTCCTATCGGACTCTGAATTTGTTGAAGTATATTGTTGCCTCTGCTTTGTTCAAAGCACATACACAAATATATTTCAAAGACTTTTCAACCATAATAACATGATAACAATTAATAATCATCTACTATAGCTCATTATAATTGGGCGCAATAAATATTCACCAAGTTAACTATAATATAACATTCATTTACAAACTCACTCCCCTATTAATTCTCGCTACTTATATAATATTTTATCATTAATAAAATGTCAGTTTTATTAATTCTAAATAAAAATAGCAATTTCTTTCATTAAAAAAAAATTAATTGTGTCAGTCGCCCGTTGTCATTGATCAGGAGTCTTACATAAGTCGCCTTAAATGGGCGATTTATGTTAAATTTAATTTTCTTTTGATAACAACTAGTTGACTCAGCAATGCTAATTCAGCATAAGTCGCGCGTTTAAAGAGCAACTTTGCCTACTTTTAAATTCTCTAAAAAATATACTTAAATGCTTAATATATATTTTAATGATGCTTAGTTTAAAAATATTCCCATATATATATATATATATATATAAACACTATTATTATCCAATTTCAAGTCCTAATGAGAAAAATAGAGGGTTGCGTTAGATAGTCGAAAATCAGTATAAAATTTATCGAATAATCATAACATGAATCCTTTAATATTGTTTTGTAATAAGGGCCTTCGCAGACAGCTAATTAAATATAAATCAATGCCATTAAAGCTCTTACAGGAAGAAATAAAAAACTAGCCCAACCATATAGATCTTCTCCGACCACGTCCATTAATGGTGCTTAAACCGTTGTCTGCAGCACTAAATTCCATGCATAACCAATGAAAAAAATAAATAAAAATAAAGATCTTAGTATGAAATTCTGGTGTAATTCCCTATACAATTTTTGTCCATATGCGTTAGCTTTTGGTCGGAAAAATTTTTCTGTGCAGAGACCGGATGCAAAACGTCATCCAGAGACTAATCATACTATATCATGTCAGCAATATCGAGCCATAGTATCGAACAAGGAGTGATATGACACATTCTGATTGATCTCGACATGACATTCATCATTGGTACAGAATAATTAATCCTTTGTTTGAGATATTTTGCGGCAGCAGTTATGCGAGAGCTGTACTTGGTAGTCTTTTATCTGAAGATGAAGATGAGTGGTTAAATTTCTCTCTTGCTTGTAATTTCTCATCGTTATGCTGATCGATTTTGACGCTTTTCATACATTTGGTTTGAAGAATTTTCATTCTGATAGGCTGTTACATTTGGAAAATTTACTTGGGACATTTCTCAGTGTTCTGGAATTCTGGCATCATGTAATTTAACACTAATTCACCGGTGAATAATTTGTTTGACTTGGTTGTAATCTCTTTGTTACCAAGCTAACTTTGATTGTTCAATTAGGCTTTAATTAAAGATACATAAATAGCCTAACCTTTTGCGTACATTTTTTACTTCAGGATGCTTTTTTCTTGGCTAATCACAGACAAGAACACATTGGGCTTGCCTTTCAAAGCGCTCTTTAAAGGAGGAGAAATTATTTTGTGCGAACCCGGACGACGTCCGAAGACCAACCAGAACACGCCACGTCATTTTTTTACTCGGTACCAGTGCGAGATACCAGTCAATATTGGGTGATATGGGACGTTCCAAACCATCCGATGTCCATTCTAGCGGTAGAGTGGTGCAAGCAGGGTATTGCAATCAGAATAAAAATAAATAAATAAAGGTAAAACGAACTAAATCAATTTATTTTATTTTTGTTTGGCTAAATTTACTTTTGATGTCATCTAAATCGACACCTGATGTAAGCTTAGAGTTTTATAAAATCAAAATAAGCGAAATTAAATAGATTAAACATAATATACATAAATTAAACATTTTATAGTCATTCCATCATACAGATTAAATTTAAATTAGATCTCTCAAATCAAATTAGTTTAAGCAAGTTTAAAAAATTAAATCCAAACAAATCATTGACATTTAGTTAAATAAACAAAATTATATCTGTTCTCAAACAAAATTATATCAAATTGACACAGCGACTCTCGAGCTTTTATGTTATTTTACTACAATAATGAAGTACATAAAGATATTTGGAGCCTTTAAACATTTAAAAAGAAAAGATTTGAGATAGCTTTGATTAATTTTAGTACTCTACCACGGAACCTGTAATATCAATAGTGCTTCACAATCTTTGATATTGAACTGTAGGTCCCCATAATCGCACTGATGAAGCCCACAGCTACAATAACCACGCATACAGTAACCTGAACATTTTCAAGGCCATCAATTTAAACATTAAAAAGCATGCATGGCACCATCTCTTCAATTCATTGAATTCCGAAGGTCAAAGATTCGTTTGGCCTGAATTATAACTGAGACTTCGTTTGAGACAGTTTTCTTACTTATTAAAGCAACTTTTTAATACAAATATTTTAATTTTTATACTAAAAAACTGCTTTACGAAGCATTAAGAAAGCCGTCTCAAACGAAGCCTGAATGAATTGTTGACATATACCTATCGTAAAAAGGAAATAGAACGGCGAGGAAGAGAGCCGACAGTATGTTACCTGCAAATTTGTGGCTTTGTTCCTTGATATCTTCAAGAAGCATAAGGTTGGCATTATGATAGCCTGCCAAAGGTTTTATCAAATAATCCATTTCTAGTCACCAATTATTATTCATATTTGATAAGATGAAGAAGTAGCGTTCATATCAGATATATTAACAAATATAACTAATAAAATGATGTTTCTGTTTTTGATAGTTCAATCTCACGATAATGTAACTATGTTAGTCACCTTACACAGAGATGTTGTAAGTTGTCAATCTGTTGTTAACATTAGGTTAACTTTACTATCACTATCCGATCGTGTGACTGCCTGATCAATGGGTATGCACCATGCAGCATCTCAGTGGGAAAGATTACATAGGTCATAACTGAAATCAGTAGGCCAAGGCTTCAGAAATGCACTTATTAGTAACCGAAGAAGCATTTCAAAAAAAAACAGAACCTGATGTAACTTTTTACTACCCATATAAAATTCTGAAAGTTAATGGTCAACATTATGAAAGTTATTTTTTTCTAGATTAAATTTATGCTTAGTTACTAACATCCCAAAAAAGTTATCTACCCCTTGGCCAAGTGGTTGATGCTTAGAGGCCCCTATCCTGAAGATCAAGGTATTGAGTAAGGATATGATTTGTGCAAGTATTGTGCTTCTGCACTCGAGATATCTTAAAAAAACTTATTACTAACATGAATGAGGCAGTGAGATAAACAAATCTAGATAAAAGCATGCAAATTGTCATGGAGAGATCTTGCTCAAGTCACCCGTGCGGCCTTAACACTTCTTCCTAGCGCTAAGTCAACCTAAAACTCATACAATGCTGGCTGGAGAGCAAAAAATGCTAGAGAGAGTGAATGAGAAAAACTTCACTATTACAATAAAACTTACACAAGAGGGACGGAGGGATTTTGGGAGATTTGGGAGATGGTTACAAATGAAAGGGGATGGTCCTATTTATAGCCCTCCTCTCATACCTAAGAACATTCTAAAACTCCCTCCAAAATACACGAGTGTGGAGTTCTCTAGAATACTTCACATTATTCCCTACACTCTCACATAACTCTATAATATTCTACAGAGTTCTATAATATCCTACATTACTCTCTAAATATCCAAATTATTCTAGAACATTCTAGAGCACTCTAGAATTTTCTAGAAAACTCTAGGCCAATCTAAAACCTTTTTAAATCTTTCAGAATCTTCTGCAATCTTTTAGAATCTTTTAGAATCTTCTAGAACCATCCATGACCTTCTAGAACCTTCCAATGTCATACCCCATGTAAGAATGGTTATGGAGGATTTCTTCGCCTTTGCTCGGCATGTCACGCCCAAGGATGGTAGACGATCTCTAGAATCTTATAAACTTCTTGTTCCAACATTTGGGCATGACAAAATGCTTTCCAAAGGTTTTAAAGAAGCCACTAAATGATTACAATAGAATAAAATAATCTCTGAATTAAACATTCTTTTGTAACTCTACCTTGTACTCAATAAAATGTTGAGCTACACTCTCCCGCGTGAACTATGAACGAAGTTGACACTGTGAGAGTTTGGGGTTTCATTTTCAAAATAGCTCTGCATTTTTTTTAAATATCTTCGTCATGTATATTGTAGACCCCAGCTCGCCTAAGTTAATTAAGTCAACTTGAAACTCTCACCCAAGTCAAGTTTACTAAATTGCATCTTGGACCCAAGCATGGTAAACGATCTCACAAAACCCAAAACCAACCCAAAATTATTTTCAACCCCTAAATTTTGTATATTTTCTACTAGAGATTCCTCTAGAATTGTATAAATTCATAACAAACGATAGAATGAAATATTCAACAGACTATCTCAAATTCTTGTTAGTACCAAAGGCAATTTGAGGAGAAAATAGTCTTCATATTATGCCTTAGCAAAAGAGCCCCAAGAATAAAAGAAACTATTGTATCTCCATCCACTCGCACAAGTCAAGTTTGTCAATCCACATATAACTTGTCGGAGCCAAATTAACAAAGTTGTGTGGAACTCGCTAAGGTCAAGTTAGTCAAAGTAGTATATTAGAGCAAAACCAGGTCTAAGAGCTCACAAGATCTAGAAATAGCTGCTACACCCTTAAAATGACTTAAAGAAAGTAGTCTGCTCAAAAACTTCAAGGTAACCAACTTGAACAACATACCAAAACTTGACTTTAAAATAACCAACTTGACAGTCAAGTCTCTACAAGCGATTTCCCAACTGTATAGTCACAAATGCACGGCTACAAGATAGCTTCTGATTAACAAATTCATTATACAAAGCAATTACCAGACCCCACACCTGTGAATAATGGGTACAACGTTGTGGGCTCCGAAAATTCGGCCCCGGCCTCCGTCCGCTTTTCTTCTTTTATTTTTCGGCGAGGGAGTTTTAACGGAATAAGTTCCGAGGTAAATTTTGGAAGGCAGATGGGTTTGTAGATAAGACACTACCCAGAGATTTCGCCCTCATTTTGCGAGGACTTTATGATCTGAGTTCTGGTTTCCTATAGGCGTAAGCCCCTATAGTTAATTACCCCTCCCGATAACGAGAGAGAACTTTCGATTAAGGCTAGTCATCAATTAGATAAGTATAGAGATACGTGCATCTAGCATATAGTAGCAGCATGGGTTTGAGATTTGAAGAATTGGATTTTTTGGATTTTGGGTTGGAAGATTTGATATTTAAAAATAGAAATTCACACCATCTTGCACTTAAAGCGGATGGTGGGGGAATGGATGATGGGCCCGATCAAGATCTCATGGTTCCGTCATCCCGGGCCATCATGGTCCCTGGTCTACTTAGTCAGAGGAGGTAGTCGACCCAACCTGACAGAAGGATCCTTGTCGGCAGCCATGGGTTGCTTCGTCCAAGGGGACCTTGTAGACCTGGGTTGGATATTTGCCTAAGGGGACAAATTTGAATCCACCTTAGCTTGCAGAGAACTTTGTGCCCTATCAATCATATCCTATTGATTCATATCTCAAGGATTTGATGCCAATAAGGAACGTATCGGCTCTGGCCATAACTGGTATTTCGTGGTGCCATTTGGCGGCAAAACCACTCGGTTCAGAGGGCCCCGGGTCATAACCGTTTATCCTGCGGTGCCATTTGGCGGCAAACCGCCGGTTAGAGGACATGTACCACGTCCTTATCGGTTTGATTGTAGGCCTTGAAGGCCTAATATGAATGTATTGAAACAAATACACTAGTCACCACAACTATGTATTCGTTTAAAGGTTCGAACCCTGTCGACTTCTATTGGTCCGTATAGAAGGATTAGGTTCAAACTAGAATTCACTTATCGACCCGCGCAGCATCCCTAAGCGTCACATGTGTACCAATAACACGCTCGCCGGGGCCCGTGCGGGTGATTTTTATATTGATTTAGACGTACCCCATTGTGTACCTATGTGTATACAAACTATAGTGTATGTGCAGGGATACTTTGAAGTATTTGTAGTTGTGTAAATAACTATCATCTGGATGCACACAACTTTTCATTTGAGAGCTTATACACGCCTTCTGTCCGCTAATATGAGTGTTGCGGATCCGGTGGCGTGGCATTGTAGATTGTGGACACCTTCTGTCTGCTTTCATAGATGTTGCAGATCCGGTGGCGTTCTAGTCTTGATATTGACTCCCCCCTTTCTCAATCACCGGGGAAGGATTTTCTGGATTTTGGAGTCAAAGACTGCTGATTTGGAAAGAACTCCTTTTAAGCTCTTCGGCATAGTGACTTGCTATTTCCGGTGTTTGTGGGCACCCAAACTATTCTCTTCTTAATTATAGAACCAAAAAGAGACTTTGGGACACCAGAAAGTTTGGTTCTAATTTGTTCAAACATTTCCCCCCTTTCTACCAAGGGGTGTCCTTTTCGTACATAGAGTTGCCTTTGTACTCAACGCACTTGTAGATCTTGGTTACCGTCGTTGTAGATAATATCCGTACTTGTGTCCACAGTGATTCATTGTACTTTCAATACACTGTTGTTATCCACAAGCATCCATTTGCAGAGGACCGCTGTATTTAATACGACCTCCTAAAAATGCTTTGTAGAAGACCCATTGCTTCTGCACCATATCCACCATTTCACCAATCTCGAGTAATTGTTGTACTTGTTTGACCTCGTAGGAATCGTCGCAGGAGATACTTGTACTTATGCCTACAGTGGTTCGTTGTCCTTATGAAGTACCCACTATTGTTGTCCACAAGTTACTTGTGTTTGCTGATGGAAGACTGTTGTATCCACTACGACCTTCTAGATGTATTTGTTGAAGAGCAGTTGTCCCTACACCATGTCCACCTTTCACCACTCTCAGGTGGGTTGATGTCTGGATTTGTTTATAGAAGACGGGTCTTTGACTATCTAGTGGTAGTGTTGCCTTCTCAATCAACATGCAATTGTAGGGATTGTTGTAGGACTTCGTGCATCGAGGTCTTGTAGCATACTTTGAGTTGCTATTAACCATACGAATGTTCTTGTTTGAACTCCCTTACACAGGATTCAAGCCTTATCCTTGTATGTGTTTGGATCCTTGTTCAATTTCATTCAGACTTGAGTTTCAAACTCAGTATGGTCATCCGGATTTGAATCTGCTGTTTCCAAACTTTACTTGGCGTCGAGCAGTTTAAGCTCAAATGCACAAGTTCTTGTTGTCCACATCTTGTTCTGGTTTTGAGTTCAGAACATAAGTACAAGTCTTTGGTTTAGTTTAACATCATTTGATTAGACTTGATTTAGTGTTGATGTTGTGTTCGTGTCGTAGTCCTTTGAGTTTGTTCAAGCTTTGAATCCAAGTAAAATTCAATTTCATACTTGAATTGATTTGAATTTGGGTTCCAACTTTGATTTTGTTCATTTTGAATTTGATCTTTATTAATCATTTAAAATCTGTTCGGGTCCTCCGCTCGTGTTCAATCAAGTTCGGCGGTCTATAAGTCCACAGTTCATGTTCAAAAGTTCACTGCTCTCTCTCTCTCATCTAGTCCAAATCTTTTGTTCTTTTGAGTTCAAAACAGGTCCCGAGTAGAGTAATATTTCACCCAAAATTTCGGCAGCCTCACAGCGTCTCCCCCGTTTAGGAGAAAAACAACGGAAAGCTGGGCCTCCCGCCACGCTAGAGAAAAGCGTGTATGATAGGTGCCCTCTTACGATTCTTACGAGGACACCGCGGCCGTGTAAAGTCTTTGTCCCCACCACGCCAGAGAAAGGCGTGTATGGGTTTTCGGTACCTGTTGCAAGAGAGAGCAGTTGTTTCCCCGCAAGCGGGTACTTATGAATATCCCGATCTCGTCGTAGGCGCCGCACTGGGTTCCCTTCCCACCACGCTAGAGAAAAGCGTGTATAGGTGGTTTGTCGGTGCACCACGAACGTCGAGAACATGTTTGGAACCGAGGGTCGCTCGCCTACCTTGTCGTGGGTGTCACGCCGGTTGCCCCTCCCACCACGCTAGAGAAAAGCATGTATAGGCAGACCACCGACTCGACACGCATGCCGAGGTAAGAGAGCGAACAATGGTTCTAGAAGTTATACCTTTGGCGGCCGGCGGTGGAGGGCGCGAATGTCGAGGTGAGAGAAGCAGACATTTCTTTTTATTAATGATAACTAATTATAATTAATTATTAATTATATTTAATTATAATTAAAGTTATTTAATTATAATAAATTATAACTAAAAATAGTTAAATAATTAATTAAAATTAATTATAATTAACTATTTAATTATAATTAATTATAATTAGTTATGCCTAATTATAATTGATAATAATTAATAGTAATTAATGATAATTAACTGTTAAATATAATTAATAATAACTAATACTATTTAATTATAATTAATTATAATTAATATAATTAATAACTAATTATAATTAAAAATAATTATTAAATTAATTATAATTAATATTAGTTAATTAATAATATTAAAATAAGTAATATCTCCCTCTCTTTATCTCTCTGTTCAGCAGATTTAGGGGATTTGGCCGTGGAAGCACGCGAGAAGGAGAAGGTTACCTTCACGGCCGGCGAGCTCCCGTTACTGGCTCCGATCAAAATGTCCTAACTCCCGATCCACAGGAAGGGAGTCGTGGAAGGAGCAAAGTCGGACCAGCCACGGAGGAGCTGAAGAAGAGGCGCCAAGGGAGAAAGTTAACCTCACGCCAGCGAACTCCCGTTCTTTGCTTCCGATCGGAGGGGAAGGAAAGTCGGCAAAGGGGCTAAGTCGAACAGCCCTAGGGGAGTCGGAGAGCGAGAGAGGGATTGCGTAAGAGTGAGCAGAGGCTGCGAACCAGAGGCCGAAGGCCTCATTCCTTCGGCAATTTAATAACGCGAAGTCGTGCCGAGAACGAGGGGGGGAGATGCGACTTCGAGCGACAGCGGTCGTGCGACGTGCACTGGTCGTGGGATGGCAGAGTAAGTAAGATTTTAAATTTTTTTTTCTTTTCTTTTGTTTCAGCACAGCATACGGGTCAACAAACGTTTGATGCAGGACATTGAAATCAAGGTGATATTCTTATGCCACATCCAAAAGGATTTATCATCTCTCTCAATCTCTCTTTACTCAATTAGATCGGATCCTTTTCGTATCAACTCCCAAAAGAAAGTCAAGTGCCCTCACCTCAACAATCCTAATATCTGCACTTCTATGGTATTGGAATCAACCATATATCTTATGGTAAAGTTAATCAAACATATAATCATCTCAAATATGCATAATCATATGGAGTTAATATCAATGAATGGTTAACTGCCAAAACAGGAGAAAGAGCATACCACTAGTATACTGAATAGAGAGCCAATCAGAGACATCACAAGACCTGCACAACAAATATGCAAAGGACTGTAATTTAGTTCATCTCAAGAAACTTTCATGACTTTTAATAGAACATAATGGAAAAAAATGATTCATGTAACCGACCCCACGTAGTGGGATAAAGGGTTGATGTTGTTGTTGTTGTTGTCAAGAAACTTTCATGAAGACAGTGACATAAATAAAACGTATTCCAGCTCAAGCAAGCACTGCTGCCCCATACAAATTTCTAACTAGGAGGAAAAAAAACGATATAGTTCCAAGCCTCAACAATAAGTTACTTCGATGTATGGTAATACAATACATTGATGACAAGTAGACACATTTAATCAATCAGTATAATTGAAGCATAGCCTTAGATGATTAAGACAAGTTGCAAGTTTTTCCAAATTGATCTTCATCATAGAAGATCATATACCTTTTGGTTGTCTGATAAATACATAAATATAAATTCTACTCACATGCCAGAATTAGCATTCAGTAAAAAGTGAATATAAAACCTTTCCCAGAAAGATATACAGCCAGATGGAATTTCTGGATGGTACCAAAAGTTATTCCAAAACAAATCTACTTGAAGAATAATTCATGCAAAATACTTGAAGCTGTTGCACTGACACCTTGGTGGCTTGGTTGACCATATACAAATCATTTAATCAGGATAGCTATTTTTACAATCAAATTGTTTATAATGATCCTAGAATATTCAATCTAATCTGGTCAATAACTGTGACCGACATCTACACTATCATCGTCATGTTAAGGATTCCTCACCCTGCAACATAAAATGCTAAGGTACCAGAAGAAGAATGATTCATGCAAAATACTTGAAGCTGCTACACTGATACCTTGTTGGCTTGGTTGAACATGAACAAATCATTTAATCAGGATAGTGATACGCCCTAGGGTTCCCAAGTTTGGGTTTTCCCTAATGCTCCTTCAAAGATAAGATTTCTCCACCAAATCAAAGAGAAATGAACACAAGGGAGATGGGATGAAGAGCAAGAACCTTTGCATTTAAAATCCAAGAGAAAACAAGATACAATTTGTCCACTTCGAGAAGGAAAAGGTCTCCCACTACAAACCCTAGAAAACTTAGAGAAAGAAAATAAGGTGGCTAAGAGAAAACCCAATTTTTGCATAACCCTAGAAATCCCCCCTTAATCCCTACTTATAGCAAGCAAAAGACCAAACCAAACCCACTAGTGGGCTGCCCCAGGTGAACCGCCCAGCTCAGGCCTGACCCGAGCCAAACCGGTCCAGAATTGGACCGGTTCCGCTCAAGCCGACCCCCCGCTCCGCTCCGCGTCAAGTCCCGCGCCCGCGTCGCCTTCGGCGGATCGACCCGCGCGGTCTCCTTCCCGGCCGATGCCGCGTGCTCCGGGGTCGCCGGCACTTCCTCTGCCGGCCGGCGGCGGTCCGCATCATAATGTTTGGAATGCCATCAGTTTTTGAGGAATGGAGGAGGGAAACCCACAAAGGCTAGGGTCACCCTGTAGTGCCACCCTCCGACCATTACTCTTGTATTTAACCAGCAACTTCTCCCAATTGACCTCCATGTCTCCTAAAGACTGAAGCCACTGCATACCCAAGATGACGTCGGCGTTTTCCAGATCAATCAGCAAAAAATCTTGAGTAATTACCTCCCCTTGCAAGATAATAGTGACTCCCTTGCATTTCCCATAAATACGGGCCTTCTGTCCTGTGCATATGGTCACCTCTACCTCTTTACTTGCTATCACCTCAAGACTCAACTGTTCCGCCACTCGATAGGCCAAGGAGTTGTGAGTAGCTCCACTGTCAAACAAAACTCTCACCTTGCACCCTTCAATTTCCCCCTCCATCTTCATGGTGGGATGGAATGGTAAACCTTCCATCGAATTCAGACTCACTTCTATCATATCTAGGTGAGGATGCTCTACCTCACCTAACCTTTCCCTTGTTGCCCCTTCATCTGTGTCCTCATCTGAATCTCCCACCACTATCACGTGCAGAGTCTTCTCCTTACACCTATGCCCAGGTGCAAATTTCTCGTCGCAACGGTAGCAGAGGCCCTTGACCCTCTTCTCCTTCAATTCGGAGTCAGTCAGTCTCTTGAACCCTCCTTGGTTCATCACAGTGGTGGCTTTCTCCTGTTTTACCTCCTCGGGATGAGTAGTGGCAGTCACCTTAAGTCCTTCGAGCATGAGCGTG